AATTAGTTAGATATTGTTCAAATCTTTCAGAGACCTTCAGAATATGGCATTTAAGTGTTTTAAAAATTTAGTCCTTTTCACATTTTTTAATGAGCTGGACAAACATAATACCTTAATCAAGGTCAGAAATACATATACACAATATAACAAAATTGACCTTAAATTTGTATTAATAAACCAAGATCCATACCAAAGAAAATTATTCATCTCTATAACAACACCCCTTTCTCTTCCTGTGACACTTAACGTTGTTGATCAAGCCTGTTGTGGAACCTGCAGCATGCCATCACAGTCCCTGTTGTGACCTTCCTCTCCAGGGGATTCTATGCCATCTTCCTGCTTCCAGGGGCATCCAGACCCATGTGAGCTATCTACACACAGATCCAAACATAAATGGTAGCATTTAAAAAATTAAACTATGTGTCTCAGATTCTTTCTTAGAAATAACAAACTGAATGGCTTAAATCAAGTGAAAAATTATACTTAGATAGATTCTTAAGACAGACAAATAAAAAAATATGTATTTGCTACTGGAAATGTCTGTCCTATATTCAGCTGGAGAAGCTGTTTGGTGGTTGGTGTTCAACCCTACGCTGACCTGCTTTCCAACTGCCTAGTCTTGTACTACAGGATGACCTAGACAGCTCATTCTGTCTTGTTCCCATCTCTGTTTGCAGAACCTGAATTTAAACACAAGAAAATGGCCAGCTAGTGGGACTGTTTGATTCCCCCTTCCCAGGCTCTAAGAGAACTCAGCAATACTGTTATACTGAGTGGCTCTGAAGTCCCCACATAGAATAGACTTTCTCTCCTTAACCAGATCCTGTATCTCTCCTTCTATTTCCCTGTGAATAATGCACTATTGCTGGATTCCCACCGGATGTCTTCTCCTGATCACAAAAGTGATTTTACTATGTCAGCCCTAAGCATCTTCACCAAGTTCTCAAGTGTACCTTTGTGTTTTACATGCTTCAGGGACAGTGATTCTCACAGCCAATGTCACTGTCTCTCTGATAAGCTCTGCAATGTGATTTTATCACAAACCTTTGTCTCTTAGCTCCAAGCTTTGTGTTTGTCTTTGTGTGTATGTATTTATAATTGGACACTGTCCACTCTCTGATGGAGTATTTAAGTTCCTTTCTAATTAAAAATTTACTTAATTCAATTTATGAAAAATGTGGCCTCATCCTGAATATTTAAGGGATTGTTCTGTGGTGCTGTTTGATCTCCTCCTTTTCCTGCCTCTGCTTCCCAAGTGTTGGGATTATGAGAACTCATAAGGCTTTCATAGTCAGTATGAAGTCTGAGTCCTGTATCATACTTTGTAACAATCATGACACCCAAAATCAGTATCTTGGGGTACTTATCAAATATTGTTTCTCAAAACTCATGCTGTTGTTTGGTGCTATTCATCTCAAGTCAAACATCCAAATTCTAACATTTAAAAAAAATGAAAATTAACTTTCTTTAGCTGGGTGGTGGTGGCACATGTGTTTAATCCCATCAGTGGGAGGCAGAGGAATGTGGATCTCTGTAAATTTGAGGCCAACCTTGTCTCCAGTGTGAGTTCCAGGACCACCAATGCTATGCAGATAAACCTTGCCTTGAAAAAGAAAAAAAGGAAGAAGAAATGAAAAGAATAAAAAAGGAAAAAAACTAACTTCTAACTTTCATCTCACAAAAAGATGTGATCATAATTTGTGATTTTATATATTCCTAATGTTTGGATATTTCCCCTCTCTTAAACTATTATTAAGTTAAACAAAAATAAATATGTCTCCTCATGCAGTCCATATGACAGAATCAAATATAAATGGAGAATGTGAAGGTACACAATTTATTTTTAGTGCTTTCTTGTAGGTAATGGTTTATCTAATGATGTATGATGTAGAATTGATATTCTCCTATGTATCTACATTACTAAAAAGTGGTGGTGTAGTGTTATTTTCAAATTGACCTAAGGTTTGTTAATGAGGCATTTTAGAACCTAAAGAACATGTACTAGAGCTCTAAAAATAAGTAGAACTGATATGCTAAAAGAAAAATGCAAACAAAAAATAGAAGGCAGGAAAAGGCGAGAAATAAAAAAATAATTATGAAACAGCTACAAATAAGATAGCTAAATATAATTCTGTCAATAATTATTTTAAGTATAAATTATCAAAATATACCATTAAAGACAGAGTAGCTGTACATAACTGCTCATCCCCTTAATCCCAGAATTTCAGAAGCAAAGATGGATAGAGCTCTATGAGTTTGAGACTAGCCTGATCTATATAGCAAGTTCTAGGCCACTCAGGATTACAAAAAAATGATTAGATTTTTAAAAGATGCAATATAGTCTATCTACAATCTCATTTAAATAAATATATAGATATGTGTAAACTGAAAGTTCAGAAATTCGAGGAATGTGGGGGCCAGCAAGATGACTCGGATGGTAAAGGTCGCCCCCCACTGATACACACATACATGCACACCACACACATGCCCATGAGAGAGAAAACCAGAAACTGTTGATATACTATCATAGACTTACTTCTCCAGAAAAACCTGAAGGATTCCAATGCCTCCATGATTGTTTCTGACATCATTTTTCTTCCCCATTTTTCTGGGTATGAGGTCTGGAGAAACATATTAATTTAGACTCATTTCTTATCAAGTCACTGCCACAAAGGCAAACATTCTTTGACTTTAACCTTTGCTACTCAGCACTTAAAAAACAGTATCTTGGGTAGAAATACAAACTTTCCACTTTAAATAATTCACAAGAATGTTTTGCTCTAAATAGCACACTCACTGTCCTCTCTCCTCGGAGAAGAGGCCCCATCTTTCAACTCTACATTTTGTATCTCAATGCCATGAACGAGTAAGATGGTTGAGATTCATGCAGGTGGTTTAGTACACAGCCCATGTGAAGTGAGCAAGGAACACATCCTGAGCATTTGGTCTGTACCTCTCCTCCTACTGCTTTCAGGCTTGGGGACAGTTTCTCACATTCTCATTGAACCTTGTCACATAGGGACTCTATGGTAACCTGATAATCTAAGGAAGATACTCAGAGCTTAAAGTGTAACACAGAAGCCCACAAGAACTGGGCTCAAACAATAGAAGTGGGCTGTTCCACATGGAAACGTTTGCCAGCCTGAAGGAAAGTTCCACAGAAACCTCCATTCACAAGAAGGAAAGACAGGGTTTGGTGGCCAACGAGTTCTCTCCAGGGTCCTGATCCAGATGTTGCTGATGGAGATGTGACGTACAAACATCTGCGACTGTGAGACCAGATGAATGTTTAACTTCACTCCTGTAGAACCCTAAATATGCCCTTCTCCTAGCTTATATTCTTTGGTCAAATGCATAATTGCTTCACTTTCAAAAATATGCACATGGCACCAGCTCTCACATGGCAGTTCACAACCATGTGTGCGTCCGACACCTCTTCTGACCTCCACAGGCTTATGCATGCACATATACAATTTTTAAAGTAGGCAAGGAGTATTAAATAGACAAGTTTTACAGAAGCATTGGAACTGAACATCTTCATATATTAACAAAGTAGGCCAGACTCAGAAAAAAATAAATATTGCATGTTTTCCCTTGGGAGTGAAAACAATTTCACATGTAAGGTTTTATCTTTTTTAATGTGTTCTGTAGGAGTATAGTGTGTGTGTGTGTGTGTGTGTGTGTGTGTGTGTCCACGAAGGACAGGAGATGACATTGTATCCTCTGGAAATGAAGTTGCAGAAGGGTATAAGCCACCTAATATAGGTACTGTGGGGGTCATCTGAAGGGCAGCAAGTGCTTCTAGCCATTGAAAAGAGAGGGGAAATGTTTAGAAAGAATAACAGGACTTCGGCAAGAGAAAGGTAGAGCAACAAGAGAAATTGGGTGATGTAATTATGCTCAAATATGTATATTTGAATGAAAATGCTATGAAAACATTTTGAACAGCGAAGGAATTTTAAGGGTATTTATTATAAGAAAGAATGTAGGCCGGGCGGTGGTAAACACCTTTAATCCCAGCACTCGGGAAGCAGAGGCAGGTGAATCCCTGTGAATCCACAGCCTGGTCTACAAGAGCTAGTTCCAGGACAGCTAAGACTGTTACACGAGGAAAACCTGTCTCGAAAAACAAAAAAGAAAAAAGAAAGAAAGAAAGAAAGAAAGGAAGGAAGAAAGAAAAGAAAAGAAAGGAAGGAAAAAAGAAAAGAAAAGAAAGAAAATGAAATTTATATTACCTTTTTGAGGAAAAGTTTTATATGGTTGTATGTGTATGGCATAAAATATAAACTGGCCAAATTTGGGGGTGTGGTCATAGAAATGATAAGCCTTTAGCATTGGCAAATGTCAGGAAAACACGAATTAAAATCACGATAAGTACCACTTGTATGAGTGAATTTATCAGTAACAGAAAAGCTGCCAAGTGTTACAGAGAATGTGGAGATGAACAACCCATTTTTTTAAAGGAGCTGAAAATGGATGGATGGATGTCCATTATGGAAAATGTGACGGTTCCTCAAAAAAATTAAAATGCAACTGCTGGAACAACCGGCAAGTCCAAATCTGAACATATAAAAAGGGATTTTGGGTCAATGTGCAAGAAATTCCTGCGCTGCTATAGTTATTGCAGTACTATCCATAGAGGTCAAGGTATGAAAATTATTTGTGTTCATCCCTAGGTAGATGAAAAGGAAACCTGAATATCCACAATGAAATACGTATCAAAAATAGCAAAACCTTCTAACTTTGGATGACGTAGATTAATCTGAAGAACGTCACATTAAATGGAATAGCCAGGAAGAGAAAAAACGTACTTAATGATGTCACAGGGTTAAGTGTGAGAAAGTCTTAATAATCACAGCATAAAGTGGTAGAATTCGCCAGCCTTGTTCCGTCAACGATTGGTAACGTTTACTGTCACTCAAGATATTCTATCCAATCATGGTGGAGAATCGGGATCTGTCCAATCAGACTCAGCTCTGAGGCGGGGCGTACTTTCCCGATCTAGCTCCAGGTCCGCCATGTTGCTTCCGGTTTCCACCGAGGTTGGTACCGGGTCTTTTAGCCCTACGTTCTTCCGGTAAAAGCCACACAGAAGCTGACGCCAGACACCAAGGTGAGTGCAGCCTCTGGGGAACCGGCGGGAGCTGGCCGGTGTCGGTCCTCATCTCCTCGGCTGTTCCGGGTAGAGACGGCGCTGGGCTGGGTACCTGTGCCGGGCTGAGCTCACCGCCTATCGCCCTCCATTCCGGAAGCTGTCTGTGCTCAGCCTGGCCCTGCTCCTGACTCCATCTCCTGCGGCTCCTGATGTAGTCCTCCCTCCACCAGTGTCCCCACGCTGCGGTTTAGAAGGACTTCGCAGACTGTCCCTGTAATGTTTCATTGTGAGGGCTTCACCGGGGAGGAAGGCTTTGAGGAGTCGGTCCCTTGACCGATTAGTGAGGGAAGAGCTGGTGGGGAGGATGTTGAGAGGAAGCGGTGGCTGGAATCCTAGGTGAGGGGCCTGTGACTTTGGGGTGTTAATCAGCTGGACCAGTTACCAGAGACTTAGCCATCACTGTGTTCTCGCTTCATTACCAAGGGCATCTCTGCTTCACGGTGGCGATGGGGACCTGTTGTGTCTGGAGGGAAAAGCTATGGCACAGCAATAGAAGCACAGCTGTCTTATTATGGTTTCAGCGCCTTTGGACGTACACTCAGACTTGTGGCTCCCTGCAGCCTGTGATACTTTTACCTCTAGTGTTCTGAAGAACCTTAATTCTCTTTTTAAAGACGGTGTAGAAGCGGTGTGTAGGAACACAAATTGCCATCTCGGCTACTTCCCCTGGGAAAACTCATTTTAAAAGTTGTGCAGGTCACATTTATCCTAGCACCACTGGCCAGAGCAAGTGACTTTGTGGGAGGGAGCTATATATACCAAGGCCTAAGTGCAGGAGGCCCACCATTGGGAAATACCACTGCCAGAGTCCTGCAGTGAATACACTCAGTGTTCAGTTTCGCCAGGGAAGTCTTGAGATTAAACCGTCTAGATCAGAGAACACATGCTTTGTATGAAATTTCAGTATTTAAGACAAGAGATGTGCCAATAGGACAGTTCTTTGTGGTGCGTTTATATTGAACTGTACTAAGCTGACAGGAAACTAAGTAATATTGCCTAAGTAGCTTTCTATCATCGCTGTGACTCAATGATGTTCATTAAATCCCTATCCTTAAAACATTCAATCATTTCAGAAGAACATAGTTACTAAGCCAGCAGCAGATATTTCCATTAACTTGTGTATAATGGAATGATGAATCTCCACCATTTAATAAAGTACCTGATGCTCCTTCAACAAGATCAGTTGTGGCAGTTGTCAAGGATAACACACCATTCCCACACAGGGAGGCATTTTTGTCGGTCTTGTCGCTTTCTTCCTGTGTTTGCAGATTGCGATCTGAAAGCAGGGCATATCTGGTAAGTTAATTTCTGTTGACTTTCTCTTCTAGCTGTGATTGCACGGTCCTCTCATGTCTGAAAGCCTTAGGACAATGGACACATCTGAGGTAAGTAGTGTAGTTAGCCTTGCCTTGTCTTATATTGTATTTTAGGACTTTTGAAAATGGAAATGGAAGAATAAACTTAATGTGATAAATACATGCGGATGCTAGCACCGGATGTGTTGACGGAGCCACGTTATAGGGTCACATGCAAACCGGTCTCTGGTTTTCCTGACGTGGTCTGTTTGTTGTAGGGGCTGGATTAACTCAGAAAGTGCCAACCTCTCATGTCCTGTGAAGTCTAAACAGGCTTCATGGACACAAGCATGTTGTGAACAGAGCTTCATTCCCAGACTGGAGATGAACACAGCATTCCACAGTGTTCACAAGTGCTCAGACTCAGATGGAGTCACAGGGGTTTTCTTTGCTGAAGTTGTATAGTTGTATAGTTCCAGACAGCTTTTGGAAGACCCCGCTGTGTCAGATGAGACCTGGAATGTAGGAAGACAACGTACTGCAGACCCTTCATTTCTCTTCCTACATGTGTCTCTGCTCGTGCGTGTATGTAGAGCATAGCAATGTCCAAACATGTTTCTAGCAATAATTCGTCTTTACTGTTTGCATTTTTTCTCCCAGTCACTGTAGTCTTGGTTCAGATTCTCAGGATCTCGTCACAGTTGAATGGAAACACTGTTCTCTGCCGGTTGCCTTACTTCCGTCTTCTGCCGTGCTGCAGAGCTCTGCCCATCCTCCTTCCCGGGAAGGTCTTCATTCCAGTCCCGATGCTGATGCTGCTTTCTTAGCTTATTTTCTGAGTTCCTTTTCTCCTCATTGTAACTTAACCTTTTCTTCTGCTCAGTTCCCCACTCATTCCACATTAAGGACTTCTTGTGATCCAGTCCTTGGGTGTGAGTTCAGTGACTATTTCTTGGTAGCATGGACCACTTGTGTAGCATTCAGATTATAAGTTTAACTCCTGTGTTGATAGGAAGAGGCGCATCAAGCTCCCCTTGTCAGAATGGAAGTCGTATCCTCCATTTTTTTTCCTTGTATATGATATTGATGCCAATCTACCTGTGGCTTTGGTGAGTACTCTGAAAGGAGGGATTTTTTTTTTTTCTGGGCCCTTCTTTTTATCCCTCCACTTCCTCTCCCCGCCCCGCCCCCGTGCTCCCTGAGGTCTAACATTGTGAGTTACAATTCCTGCCAGCTCTGTTGTTGTTCATTCTGCTCCAGTGGCAGCATGGGATGCTGTAGATGGTGAGGAAGTGTGGTTGCCTAGAGACAAGTATATCCTTTCTTGTCACACTGGAACTGTCCGTCTCTGCTAGGCTGGAAGGGTTTATTCCTCTGTGGTAGTGCCTGAGTGCTGACGGGCTGTATGGCTAACAGGCAGGTGTGGTGAAGGCCTTGAGAGCAAATGGGAAAATCAGAAGTTAGTGGATACCATTTGTGTTCGAGTCATGAGAAAGGCACGTGGAGCATGAGTAAAAACAGGAGCACAGATCTGGATAATGTACATATCTTGCTTATATATTTTGTATCAATTCTTCCATCTAGTTTGTAGATCATACAAAATATATTCCTTGCTCAAAAATGTCTTGACATAATTTTAAATACAGAAAGTAGGCCCAGCTAGATTGCAGTCCCTACAGGGTTGGAGCAGGGTTCTCTACAAAGGCCATAAGTACTCTGGGTCAGATTCAGCAGCTTGTCTGACATTAGCCATGGACAGAAGCCAGAGTATGGGAATCCGCAGGTAAAGGTGAGAAGTGCACTGTGCACTCTCACCTTCACCTACGCAGTGGCACGGGTTCATGGTCAGTAGCTTAGAAGGAACACTGGATTCAAAAATTGAGGCCAAGCACATTAGACAACAGGATTGTTGACATACTGTCTGGATGGTAGAAAGAGATAAAGGTATTTGTGTCTCCTATCAAAGCTCATCAGAAATGACCTCAGCAGAAGACTTTACTAGTAAAGTGCTTAGCACTAGGAGCTTTGAAGACAGGGTCCCACTATGTGACATTGGTTGGCCTGGAACTTGCTCTGAAAACCAGGCTGGTCTTGAACGCACATACCACCTGCCTCTGCTTTCCAAATGCTGGCCTCAAAGGTACGCACCATACCCAGCTAATAGGACCTTTTTTTGTTTCTGTTCCCATAGCCACATGCCCTACTGGCCTGCCTGTCTTTTATTGATAAGGAGCAATGCTTCTACCAAAGGCCACCACTATGACTCTATTTGGCTGGAGGGACTGATTTTATCCAAAGCACTTTGCTTCTTATGTCTCCAAGACAATAGGTGGTAAAGACGCTAGTGATGGTTTTCCTGAGTATTCTAGATTACCCAGGGAAGATTGGACTAGGCTGCCGTGGAGATAAGGGAGAATATTAATTATTTTTGTATTGCTGTGACCAAATACTACCTGAAAGAAACAACGTAGGGGAGGAAAGATTTATTTTGGCTCATTGTTTCAGAGGTATCAGTCCATCATGGCAATGATGGCAGGTTGGAGTGGCTCCATCAGTGGAGGTGAGAGTGTGAAGAGGAGCAGCTGTTCACACCATGGCAGACCTGGAACCTGAGAGAGAAGTGGGAACCAGGGGCAGGTATAACCTTCAAAGACACCCCATTTTTAGTCTACTTCCGGCAGCCAGACCCTACCACCTAACCCTTCCACAGCCTTCAAGTAGCACCACACACTTTGGATCTCATGTTCAAAACAGTGAGCCTGTAGGGAACATTCCACAGTCAAACCATGAAAGGAAATCACTAAGGGCATCTCTTAGTATAACTGTGCCCTCTTGTAACCAAAACAGCCCTGTCGGGCAGGACTACAAATATTCCAGACACTTCAGTTGTGACTTTGTGAGTCAACTCTCCTAGTAAAGAAGCAAGGCCTACTGAGACATTTGCTGAAGGCTGGGGAAATACAGAGTGGGTACTAGAATAAGATAGACAGCTAACACACATACATACACACATACATAACCAGTTACAGAAATGAAGACTAGTTATGTCAGTACTTCTGTTTTATAACAAGTATGTTTATGTCTGAGGATGTAGCTATGATAGATCACTTTCCAGGACTGTTTTTTTATGTGTCCACATGTAATAAGAAAGTATTTTGGATGCTAATTTTTTTCTGTAATTTTTCTTCTGTCTGAAATTAGGAAGTGAGCATTTTTAGAAGTGACTGCTGTTTCTTTTTCTTGGAATCTAATTTTAATGTGTATGAATTGAAATTTCTCAGCTTTTCTTATAGTGTGTGCTTATTGACTCTACTTCCTTTTAGAAAGGTATTACCTCACTGAATATTAAAGTAAGAGCAGTTCTGACTAAGAAGGCAGTGTGGGCTGTAAGGCAGTTCAGTGTGCATATGTGGGTGTTCATCAGTGTTTGTTTGTGGTGTTCCCTGGTCCATCCTCTGATTTGGATCTTCTCTAACTGATGCTGTCTGCATTTTTTGGATGTTAGAGCTATAGGTTATGTTTTGATAAGCAGCAACTCCTGCTTTGGTGAAATTACATAAGCAAGGTATATATCACATCTCGGGCTACCTGGAGTTTGCTGATCAGTAAGGAAAAGAGCAGCAAACCTAATGCCAGCTTCAGAAGGTCATCAGAGGTGGCAGGTTCCTTCTGCAGGTAATTCCATAGGCAGCGTCACCTAGTCCTGTCTGAGGTGAAGTAAGGTGGGGATGGAGGTATATGTTCCGTCCACATAAAAGCACTGAAAATGAGTAGGCAGTGGTCCCCATGTCCTGGAATCCTCCACACATACGCCAGCACATCCAAGGTACCATCTTTTTAGTGCATTGTATTTGTCTTAAGTCTCAAAATGATGCCAGGAATTTATTTCACATCCACTATGACTACTCTTGTTTCAGATATCTGGCATTTATAGATGGATTTCAACCTACCCTGTACAAAGTATAGCAGACTGGAGTATATGTGGGAACATGGTAATGAGCTGAAGGGGTAAACCTTGAGAGGCATCATCTTCACTGCACTCTTGGAGTCTTGGGCAGGTGTGGTGGGTGATGGGTGACTTAACCCTGAAGATTGGACACCTTCCTACATAAGCCTCTGGTTCTGCACCCTGGTGGTTCCTAGTCAATGCTCTCCAAGCCCATGTCTCTGGTTAAGGAACTTCTTATTCTGTTTCCCAGGAAGTTTGGTCTGATGATGAATGAAAGTCTTTCCAATGTATTATGCTCAAAGAATAAGCAGCCCTTTCCCTCTTTCTCATTCACAACTCTCAAATGCTGCTTTTGTGTCTAAGTCAGTTACTGGGCACCAGCTTAAATCAGTAATCAGAGATGACAGATCACTTCTGCAGATATTTCAATAGGCAGTGTCAGCTCATACGGACTGTGTTGAAGTGAGGAGAGGATGGAGGTATTTGTTCTGTTCTGAATCTGTACATACCGTCTTAATTTGCCTGTGTTTGAAAAGAAATTAAGCAAGTCATCATGGGAAAAACAGTTTACAGGTTAGCAAAACCACAGGAGAAAAAAAATCTATGTTCCTTCCCACAAATTGCCCCCCTTCTTTCATGTCACATAGTTAAGTACATCAATTCCTAAATAATTGTTTATGTAGAAACCTTGGAAACACACTGATATTTTTATCAAAGACAAAAGAAATTAATAAATGCTATTCTTACTTTTTATTTTCTGTTGGTGCTTTGTGTTTCTTCTGTGATGAGTTCGCAATTCCTTACTACCTCTTGTGTCTGCCTCGTCTCCAACTCTTGGTCCTCCGTCTCAGCCTTCTGTGGGAGTGGGATCTGTGGAGCCTACCACATTGCATGTCTTCCACTCTGTGTTCTTAGTGCCCTATTTCCCAGTGTGGAAACTGGGAAGTGATTCTTCCCCTCCAGCTCTGCCCCGAGACCTTCCCCTTTCTACTTTCATGGCATGACTTTCAAAATGTTGAGGTGTTGAGCTGGCTTCTGCTTCTTTATATATTGCCTTACAGGATGCTAGTGATGTTTATTTCTGTTGAATCTAGCAGTTGTTCTAGCTTTTGGAAGAGCATATGTGGGTGCTTATGACTGTACTTTATAAATAACTTAGAGACAACATTGACTTCTTGGATTTATGGTTGTTGGAGTCAGAAGTGTATTTTAAGTGGGAAACCAGAGGATTATCAGTTGCCTGCTTTGCCTTGTCTATGATAATTTAGTCATCATTACTAACTTAGTATGCTTGTAAGGCGTTTTGCAGATGATTTTTCTTCCATGATAAGAAAACTTATATGTATATCCTGTGTAAACGATGCTTGTGGAGAAGAGTGAACTCCCATATTCCTGTCTCTGATTCAAGGCTGAAGGCTTGGGTTGAGGAAAGTTGTTTGATTACAGGGGTTGGTGTCATTCGAGGATGTCTCTGTGGACTTCACTTGGGAGGAGTGGCAGGACCTGGATGATGCTCAGAGGAAGCTCTACAGGGATGTGATGCTGGAGACCTACAGCAGCCTGCTGTCCTTGAGTGAGTGAAACTCTCCAATACTCCTGTTAGAAGCTTATTGCTTTTTGGTAACTATAGGAACTTCTTCCAAGGATTGCCTTTTTTTTTATTTATTTATTTTTTATTTGTGTGTGTGTGTGTGTGTGTGTGTGTGTGTGTGTGTGTGTGTGTGCTTGTGACCAAACTAGGTCTTGTGCAATGTAGGCAAGTACCCAGCACTGAGCTTAATCTCCAGACTCTTTGTATTTTTTTTTAAGATTTGTTTTATTTTTTTATATGTTTGGGTATTTCGCCTCCATATATGTGTGTGCACCATATGCGTGCAGTGCCCAAGGAGGTCCGAAAGGGCATTAGAGTCCCTGGAACTGTAGTTACAGGCAGTTGTTAGTGGCCATGTAATTGCTGGGAATCAAGCCTAGGTCCTCTGCAAGAGGAGCAAGTATTCTTAATTTTGAATCACTTCTCCAAATCCCTATTTGGTGTTTGTTGAGGTAGGGTCTCACTATATCACCATAGCCCTGGCTGTTCTTTTTTTTTAATATTTATTTATTATGTATACAATATTCTGTCTGTGTGTATGCCTGCAGGCCAGAAGAGGGCACCAGACCCCATTACAGATGGTTGTGAGCCACCATATGGTTGTTGAGACTTGAACTCAGGACCTTTGGAAGAGCAGGCAATGCTCTTAACCTCTGAGCCATCTCTCCAGCCCCACCCTGGCTGTTCTTGAACTCACTATGTAGACTAGACTGTCCTTGAACTCATAGAGATCCAACTGCCTCTGCTTTCCAAGAATTGAAGGAATGCTTCACCACATCCAGGGCTATTTCTGTTTTTAACTGGCACATCACAGCTGTACATATTCCTGAAGATGTTCTGCCTGCCCCAGTCTTAACATTAGGCTCGATGAGCAGCTCCTCTCTAGTTGTTTTCTATGCCTCGTTGTCATGGAGCAGCCTGAGCCGTCAACACAGGGAGACGCAGCAGAGAGCAGAGTGTCCGCACTGGCATGTTGACAGCAGAAGCTGAAGTTTTATATTTGTTTCTCAAAAACCTCTTCCTATATACTGTGCATAATAGTGCACACCTTTGATCCCAGCATTTGGGAGGTAGAAACAGACCAGTCTAGTCTACAGGGTGACTCCAGGCCAGCCAAAACTACATAGGGACTCTGTCTCAAAATAACTAGAACCAAACGTGTACATACGCCTCAACAAACAAACAAACAGCCTCTTCCTGTTTACTGCTCTTTTAGTTTTGTGCTTGTATCATGTGTTGGCCATCATTTCAGTCCCTTCACTGTCAATCGAGCTGTGTCTTCACTGGCACAGTGACTTTCGCTTAGGTAGTAAATCATTAAGGTTCATTTCTGTAAGTCATTCAGCCAGCCTGTGTCTTCTGATTCACAGATTATATTCTTACGGAATGCTATTCTGGGGGTTTGTTGTTGCTGTTTCTCTTATATCTTGTGTTATTTTCTGATAAATCTTGTTGCTCTGTGATTTTCTATATAGATAATATAGAGAACTTGGGAAACAAAGGCAGGTGGAGCTCTGAGTTCAAGACCAGCCTGGTCTACAGGATGAGTTTCAGGACAGCCAGGGCTACACAGAAAAAACTTGTCCTTGAATAACCAAAAAAGAAAAGATCTCTCTTCACAGACCTTCCTTCAAAATTGTTTCAGTGCTAACATTATAGAAATGTGCCGCATGCTGGCTCTCAGGATGTCTTAGTTCTGTCTTTGTAGGTTTTTTAAAATCATATTTAATTATGTGCGTCTGCATGTGACTTTATGTATGTGAGTATAGTGTTTACATAGGATGCAAGAGGAGGGTAGATCGTCTGGAGCTGGAGTTCACAGCTGCTTATGAACTGCCTGGTGTTAGTGCTGAGAACTGAGCCCCACTCCTCTGCAAAGGAAGCATGTGCTCTTCACAACTGAGCTGTCTCTTCAGTCCTGTTTTGGACTTTTCATAGATGACTGTAATACACCTTGGGAATTGATCTGTTTTGGCTGAATCTGTGGATGTTCTTAAAGCACTTATAAAATGTTCTCATTGGTCCTGTCACTAACCATTGCCCATAATAATATATATTTTCATGTTATGTGTATGGTTGTTTTTCCTGCATGTATGTCTATACACAACATGAGTGCAGTGCCTTCAGAAGGCAGAAGAAGTGCTGGGTGGTGGTGGTGCACGCCTATAATCCCAACACTCAGGAGATGGGCAAGTAGATCTCAGTGACTTCAAGGCCAGCTTGGTCTACAAAGCGAGTTCCAGAACAATCAGGACTGTTTCACAGAGAAAGCCTGTCTCAAAATAACAAACAAACAAACATTAAATTAATTAATTAATAAACAGAAGGCAGAAGAAGGCATCTGGTTTCCTGGGACTGAAATTGGAAACAGTTGTGAACCTCCATTCGGTTCTGAGAATTAAACTCAAGTCTTCTGCAAGAGCCATCTCTCCAGCCCAATGTATTGTCATTATTTAATGACTTAGCAGTTAGCCAAAACTTGTACAATTCTTTCCCATTACTAGATCGGTGTGATCCAAAACCTGAGTTGATCCTGAAGTTAGAACAAGAAGCTGGGCCATGGAAAGAAGATGTCTCAAACCAGAGCCTCCCAGGTCAGTGACTATACCCTGGACAGGGATGCCAAGTTGAGAAAGCTCACCAGATGGTGGCTGTGTTGAGCTCTTTTCTCCGTGTTCCAGACTTGAGTACAAGTGTTCTTATTCATCCAACAATCAGTATGTACAGTCTACAAAAGGCTCTTTAATGTACATGTATACCACTTTATTAGGGTTTCCCAAAGCAGCAGAACTGATAGAGTGCACACGCATTCACATGCGCACACACACACACATAGGGGATTTATTAGAGTAGATTACAAAGGCTATCGCAACAGTGGGCCAAGGATCTAGTCATTCAGTCAGGTCAGTGAGACTGGATGGATGTCTCAGCAGTACCAATTTGTGCTAGACTCTCCAAGGAGTCCTAGAGAGCTGCTGTCTTCAGAATGCAGTGGAGTCCTGAAGAGGAGGTCTAAACCAGTGAGGGAATGCCTCTGCAGCAGGATAGATACTTGCCAGTGGGAGTGAGGGCAAGCAGGCGAAAAGCAAAAGCTTTCTTCTTCCATGACCTTTTATATGGGCTGCCAGCAGATGGTTTGGCTGAGATTTAGAGTGTGCCTTCCCCCATCAAATGATCCAATCCAGAAGATCCCTCACAGGTGTGTACAGCTGCTTGGGTTTTAGTTAACTGCAAATATAGTCAAGTTGACAGCCAAGATTAGCTCTCCCACCCGTTGACTTATGTTTGCCGTGTGTTAGTGTAGGCATAGCAAGTTCAGTTCAAGCCTCCACACACAGATTTATTCCCCTCTAGTTTTGCAGTGTGTCACCGTAGACTAAACAAACTCTCTCCAGTCTGTGGTTATTTTATTTAAGTTTGTACTTGTCCTTTTCTCATTTCTGTGGTTTGTTTTGAGCATTTATTCATATGTTTATCCCTTGTTATTTGCTCCTCCTTGTACACTTGTTTAATATTCTGGAACAAGCAGTGGTAAGTCAAGAAATTTATCAACAGACTAAAGAGCTCCATTGTGTTAAGAAATGAAAGTTTTGGCATTAAAAAAAAAATCACCCTCCCCCAAAGTCTTCCTAAATGAAAGAAAAATAAAATAGTTAAGACCTAAAGAACATGCAATTTTAATATTATGACTTTCTTTTGATTTAATTTATTTCAGACCACTGATTTCTATACATACTATACAGTATGTAAGTGGACAAGAAGTATGAAGAGAGTTCTTATTACTTTATTAAGAATCCAATTTCAATGTTACTAGTTTGAAACTAATATTGAAAACATGGTGCTTTAGGCGGCTCACCACGGGGTTGATAGAGTCTGAGCAAAGGTGCTGGAAATGGGGTCATTTGTGCAGCCAAAAAGCACCCAGTGTAGACTCTGGGATAGGGTACATCTCGAGCTTAGTGTGACATCTAGGAGACCTTGAACTTGAAGGTCAAATGACCCCACAAATTGCTTGTTTCTGGACTCATATTTTGTGAAGGGTTGTGCTAAGTAATTAACCTTCCACTCTTTTCTTTGTAGAAATCACTCTAATTTGACATACACAATGAATTTGTCCAGGAAACTCCATTTGTTGTGAAATTTTAGCATGATCAAAGTGCCAGAGCATAAATAAAGGCGTGGAGAAGCGTGATTTTATGAGTCAGCATGTATGTGTTCACACAGATAGGAAATGCCAGTCATTCATGTCAGACCTATGCAGCAATCTCACATTTCCAGTGTTGCGGTATACCTTGACTTATAGAACCAAATGTCTGCAGATTTTTCTTTTGTTGTATTTAATTGTGATTAGATTAGGAATATCAAGAATCTGTTCCTCTGTATATGATCATTAGTATTTGAAAAGCACTGGAGATGTCTGCGTCATTTCCTCAAGAAATTCTTTCTTAAGTAACAGGCAAGTTTACTACACTTGATCTGTATGGATACTAACCAGAAAACCTTCCATTTCTTTATTTCTTCTAGATATGCAGCATGTGAATGACCCGAATGAGATCAGCCAGGATAATCAAAAGATGTGTGGATGCAATCTGGTAATTGCCAAGAGCAGCACATCAGCTGAGCAGAGGGCTAAAGCAGGAAAACCATTTACTAGCTCAAGCTGTATTTTGAGGCTGGCTGTAAAGAATGACGTGTCTTCTGGAATGAGACCTGGGACACGTAATATGTGGGCTGATGTGCTCCTCCCTAGTGAGCCCAGTGAGGTGCAGGTGGTAAAGGAACTTGACATTCCGATTGTGACCAGGGTGTCCCCCAGACTTCCTGAGCCTCTCAGTCTGTATCACAGTCCTAAATGTGAAGAACAGCACTTGCAGTGTCATGGGCACAGTGAGGCTTTCCACACGAAGAGAGTGTGGCTACAGGACACATTTCCTATCAGAGATCCCTCCAGTAAATTGAGGAACTACAGGAAAGGATTAGAAAAGTTAGCTCTTCCTGGTCTAGGGGGGACCCAGGTACAGGAGCAAACTTTTGAATGTAAAATGTGTGGGAAATTGTTCTATAGAAATTCTCATCTCACACAGCACTTAAAAACCCACAAAGAAAAGAAATATTTTAAAGGTAATGATTGTGGGCCAATATTCAGTATACAATCAAACCTCCTCAAACATCAGAGTTTACATGTGGGAGAAGAGCCTTATACATGTAATGAAGATGAGAAATACATTTGTCAGAAATCAGAAAAGAGTGTGCAGCAGAGCATCATAGGGGATGGGAGGAACGTGTATGGGAAAACTGTTGATTCAAAATTAAATCACAGTGTTCAACAGAACCCTCACAAGGCTGAGAAATCCCATGAATACAGTATATCTGGAAAGACAATTAGTAAGTCAGACCTCCAGCTTGAGCTAGCACACAGATATGAGAAAGCGTATGAATGTAATACTTGTGGGAAAACCTTCAACCACACACCAGGTTTCTACTTGCATCCGAGAGCTCACACAGCTGAGAAACCCTATGAGTGTAAAGACTGTCAGCAGTCAAAACTCATTGTGAATCAGCAAACCCCCACGCAGGAAAAACGCTACGTGTGTAATGTGTGTGGAAAAGCCTTTTACAAAAGAGCCCACTTACATGCGCATCAGAGGACTCACACAGGTGAGAAGCCTTATGACTGTAAGGAATGTGGGAAATCTTTCAGGCTGAAGTCATTTCTGGTTGTACATCAGAGAATTCACACGGGTGAAAAGCCCTTTGCGTGTACCACATGTGGGAAAAGTTTCAAGCAGAGGACAAGTCTCTACACGCACATAAGAATTCATACAGGTGAGAAACCCTATGAATGTAAAGAATGTAGAAAATCTTTTATTCTTAAGTCATACCTCACTGTACATCAGAGAACTCATTCGGGTGAGAAACCCTATGAGTGTGATGTATGTGGAAAATCCTTTAAGCAAAATTCCCACCTTCATGCGCATAAGAGAACTCACACAAATGAGAAACCCTATGAGTGTATAGTGTGTGGCAAAAGTTACAAGCAGAGCCCAAGCCTCTATACACATAAGAAAATCCATACAAGCGAGAAGCCCTATGAATGTAAACAGTGTAGGAAGTCATTTAGTTTGAAGTTTCATCTCACCAGACATCAGAGGACGCACTCGGGTGAGAATCACTACCAGTGAAATGTGTGTGATGAGCCTTTAAGTCGAGTTCACAGCTGTGTGCATCAGAGAGCTGACCCGGAGAGACCCTGTGAATGGAAGAACGCAGAACAGCCACCACTAGTCATCCCGCGTTTCTCGGGAGCTCTCCTGCGGAGAAACTCCACCCGTGTTGTGTGTGTGGAAAGGCCTGCCAGATGTCAAGCTGGTACACGTATCAGAGAATTCACGCAGGTGACAGACTTTTATAATTAAGAAGAAAATATTCCAGCCAAAGATAGATCAGAGAACTCACAAACGTGAGAAATCTTAAGAGCATATAAATGTAAAAAATATCTCAACCATAGATATAATTCACTGTGCAGTAAAACACATATAAATGGATGAAACGTTGAAAAACCTTTCTCTAGATATCATATCTCATCAGTCATTAGGTAATTTATGCCCTATAAGGAAACCCTATGAATGTAGAAAATCCTTCAACCATAGGTCATTCTTTACTGCATACCAAAGAAGACACATGGGGACACCTCCATGAATTGTTTATGTGCAGAAAACAGGTACTCAAGACAAACGTCCGTGTCCACCTGAAAACTCAAAACTGAGAAACTCTGACTCTAAATACTGTAGGAAATATTTCAGCCATAAGCTATCTGTTGCCGTACATGAAAGAAGTCACATAGGTGAGTAACCCTAAACACATAGGTGAGTATAATGGAAGCAGGGAACCCTTTAAGAGATGTCAGGTCTCTTTGCATTAAAGAACTTGCACTGCTGAGGAACCCCAAGACTATCTACAGGGAAATGCCTTTTCCAGTAGGCAGTCCGCTCTACATCAGTGACTGGCTGGAAGCACATGAGTAATGTGTGTGGGAAACCCTCTTACTGGATGTCAGCAGATGTAATCACTGTGTATCTGGAAGATCCACATCTCTAAGTCAGACCTCAGGAAGCATTAGAATTATCACAGAGACACTGTAAAGCAGATAATAATGTGGGCAGTGTTTCCAAGAAGTGGCTCAGCAGGATTCATCCCACAGAGTCCTTAAGTTTAGGAAGCAGAGTCCCATGGGCTCCCCAAGATTTATTTTCTTTGCTGCACTCATAAGCCTGTGCTTTACAGTCCATTTCTGTTTGTGAGACGTCGTGCTAAGCTCTTTAGTGGAATGTAAATACACATGTTCTACTTATTTCTATCCCACTATCCCCAAAATCTTACAACAAACTCCACCTGGGTGCCCATCCATAGTTGACCTGAAGTGCACATAACCTCTAGCATGTTTGGGAGCCATGTGGAGAAGAGCACTGTGGCTCAGGAATGCTGTTTGTCCTGAGAGCTGTGATCCTCCTGCCTGTTTCTTCCATCTCTCTAGTGTATGGAAGGGAGATCTGCACAATCTGTAATAGGGCAGGCCCACAGCCTTTAGTTTTCTCTAGGAGGTGAGTGAGACAAATAATCTTTTTAGAAAGTTATCAGGAGAGAGATCCTTGTTGTCACTCTTCATTTTCATGCTGCTTTGTGGGGAGAAGAAATCCTGATAAAATTCCCATAAATACCGAGTGTTTCTGGTAGGGATCTCCACTAAACAGATCATGGTATGAACTTTTTTTTTATGTGAAACCTCTCAACAAAAATTCCGTCAGGTTTCAAAAATCCTGACCAGGGAAAATTATCACTATGGAATCTGTACATTAATTTTTTAATGGTAAATCTCATATTCCAGTTTTTCAAAATCTGTGTGCCAGGAGATGAATATTGGTAATGCTGCCTATCAGCAGGCATCAGTCTCTGTCTGGGGTCATTTGTGATGTTATAATCAGAGTTTGGGAGAGGCCAGTGGCACATGCAGGGGTATAGCTGACCAGCCTGCAGTGTGTTGGGTAGTACACTCGTGTATGTATGGTGCATGGATATGAGTGCATGGATATCAATCGTGGTCCATGATGAGACTTAGCAGAAGGGACTTTCCATGGCTTTATGTTACAATGAACATTGATATTTCCTACATTTGATGCCCATCTGGCCTCTTTATATCTTCCTAGCCTCAGACATTGTATTATATACCTTCTTAATCTTGTGTCATCTAAATGTGTATGACAGTTATTACTGGCTCAAGTAAATAAAGGTTATTCTTTTCCTAACATGATGTCTCAGAGTAGGTTTGTATGTCTGATAGCCAAAGTATTTACAGTAAAACACATACACACACATATCCCAAAAGGACATTGGTTCACAGCTGTGGCATGAACTGATTATGAACCGTAATGCTCATTCCCTCCTACCCTCAGAGGGCTAATGTAGCTAGAATAATAAAAACCCAGAGACAGGTGCTGAGGGTCAAGCTGAAGATCAGAAAAGCCAAGCAACCAACCACTAGAGAGACCTTTCATCTCTACCAAATCTTCAGACCTAACGGGCGAGATCCTGTCTCCATGAATCCTCAGACTCCTCACTCCACTGAGTTCCTGTTTTTTCCCCTTTATATTCCTTTCTCCACCCAACCATATCGCTCCTGTCCCCATCTCCCTATGCTGGGATTAAAGGTGTGTGACTCCCAAATTTGGGATTGAAGGTGTGAACCACCATCACCTGGATCTGTTTCTGGGTCACTCCTGTGTAGCCCAGGTTAGCCTTGAACTCACAGAGATGCATCTGCCTCTTCTCCCAAGTCCTGGGATTAAAGGTGTGTGCCACTACTCCCTGGCCCCTAGTGACTTACATTTGTGTTCTGATCTTCAGGCAAGCTTTGTTTATTAAAATACAAATGAAATATTACTACAGGGTAATTTCCCCCGTGTTCCTCTCTCTATCACCTTTAAATGGGTCATCAACACCAAATGCTCTAACTACGGTGCTTTAATTCCCATTAAAAAATAGAAACTGACTCAGTGTGATGTGCTAAAATTGAAGTGTTTGCCATGTAACCTGGAATGTGATGAGAGATATATCCTCTAAGCATGACAATGAATTAGTTTACAAGTATCTTGTAAGTTGGTAGGAGCCTGCAATAGAATGTTGAGCTATACAACTGCATTTCCTACTTTGCCAAAGTTGAATTTGATTTTGTTCCCAGTTCTACATACTTAGGAATTTGGCTCTACTCTGTTTCTAGTGATCACGTGTGATTAGTGTTTTCATCAGTTTTTTTATGCTAAGTATATGAGCCAGCTCTGCCTGTTGGCATCCTGGTGGAGTTAGTTCCATGGCATCTCTTAGAATGTGCCAAAAAGACAAGCGGAGACATGGAAGAAGTGAGTCTTCTGTTGTACACTGACCTGTGGGGCAGACCTTCATGTTCCATATAATCCTTTACTAGTGGGATCCCTAGATTATCAGTATACAAAACTATAAAAATCCACTTCAATGGTGCTGTGTAGAGCCACTGAAATAACTAATGTGAGAACTGAGGCATTTTTCTTTTGGTGGAGAAGGGGCATTTACTTATGGGATTGTGTTTATCTTGTTCCGTAAGAAGTAGTTACCTCTGGGCAATGGTGGCACATGCATTTAATCCCAGCACTCAAGAAGCAGAGGCAGGCAGATCTCTGAGTTGCAGGACAGCTACATAGAGAAACCCTGATTCAAGGAGAGGGAGGAAAGAAAAAAAAAAGTAAAATGTAGTTACCAAGTTACAGAACAACATCAGCATTCATGCTTGTGCAAAATCCTAGCACTTTGGAGAGATTGGCCGCATTATGATTTTGAGGCCTATGTAAGAAGTCACTTCAAACCCAAACACCTACTGCCTCACACATGTGCAGACACACATACACACAATTTGTGCCCTAGACTCATCGGTTTGAGTTAAGCATCCCTCCCACCGCTCCTGCTAACCTTCCCAATAATAGACCTACTATGATAGTCATCATAGGCAAATACTATTTTATCTGCAGACTAAATGGGAGGCATGTAGGAGAAACAACATAGCCAGATTAAAAATAATTGTTCAGAAAACAGTATATTACAGTTCAAAATGGTATTTTGGAATTAAAGCAAAGTAGATACTTAGTATTAAAACTCACTAATACAACATCTCTAAATACGTATTTAACAACACTTTTTAGTATATAAAACAAAGCACTCAAGGGGAGCCGGCTTGGAACTAGAGTCCTGGAGTTAGAACACTGGGGCTAGAGGAGGCATTGAGGGACAGTATACCATTGAAGAAAATGGTTCTTAAGTGAAAGCCATAACAGTCCTGCTTAAGCAGACATTTGGATATGTGGAATCCCAATGCCAGACAACCAGAGTCAAATCAATACCTGCCGTTAGTCTGCATCTGTCACTCTTCAGCCATTCCAATCGGGTGCTGAAGGCCTGGAGCGTTCTTAAGGAACCACTTCAGTCCACACTGGAAACTCAAAAAATCTGGTTATGACAACAGTGAAGGAATCAGCAGCAGCAACAAGATAATTACAAAGAAATTAAAAAGAAACAGCTCTCATATCATGGAAGATAAAGATTTCTTCTGGAGCTAAATGTCAGTGACCATGGTCCAGTTAAGCTTGTTTGTCAACTTGACTTCATCTAGATTCAACTAAAACAAGCTTTCTGAGCACTCTTATTTTCTGAATGTTTAAGACATTTGAATTAAGAGTTTTCTTAGATTACTTGAAAATGGAAGACCCACCCTAAATCTGGGTAGTGACTTCTGGTAAAAGAACGTGAAAGGAGGAAACAGCTTTTTGCCTGCTTATCCTAACTCTTGCTGGCAAGTTCATCTATCCTGATGCTGCAGCATTCCAGCGATGATACTAGAGCCAACGTCTTTAGGTTTCCAACATAGACTGAAGACCAGTGGCTCTCCTCCTCCAGGAATCCTCCAGGCTTTCAGTGCAAGATTGGGGCTGCGGAGACATCCAGTCTTTTGAACAGACCTAACCCACAAAATAAAACTATAAAGTCACAAACCACAAAAAAAAATCCAAAAATTAACACACCCCATCTTTAAAAACTCCATTGTGGTTGTAAGAGGAATTCAAATGATTGCAGAAAATAACAAGCAAACCAAGGTATTAGAAATGTTTTTACAGCAATACAGGAGCAGAGATGATGAATGGTCCTGACTTAGTGACCCTAACAAAACAGGCTCAGTGAATATATTAAACTCAAGAGCTGAACACAAGTTGCACTCTAATTGGTAGACACAGCCTCTTAAAACAATGTTAGCAATGCTGAAACTACCATGCATCCCAGTAAGTACACTGTAAAAGACTGTAGCGTATCCTCAGTAGTCCACACAGGTACAAATGCGCAAACACAGCATGCTGCAGTGAACCTGTGGTTCTAGATTACAATGGGCAAAATCAGAATGATTCAGTGGCATTGTCGGTATGTCTATGCAGAGAGTCAGACAGACTGCTAGATTTATCGTCAACAAAAGGAATCAGGTGATAGGGTTCTAGAGGTTCTAATCCTAGGCCTGGGAAGGAAAATGTAAAATGAAGCTTGGGCATTTTTCAGTGTCAGGAAAGAATGGGGTGGAGATGCTGGTCAGCCAGTAGAAGCTTCCCTATTTGCATTGCATGCACAATGTCCTTAACTAGATTTCCAGCAGAGCATAAAACTCTAATAGCAATTTATCCTCTTAATCTCAGTGTCCAGGAGATGGAGCTGGAAAACAACTTTCTGGGTAGGAACAAGAGAGGATGTTCTGAAGTGAAGGGACCTCTGCAACCACCATGGTCAGCAAAATGACAATTGGTGGGAGGCAAGAAAGTGATTCAGCTCAGCATGACTCAGAAGGCGGTGCTGATCCAAACTTCAGGACTCTGACCCTGAGTAGTTCATTTCAGGCACAAATAAGCCAGCATGATTTGAATTTTTTCTGGTGATAATGCAATCCCATGTACACAATAAAGCTTAAGACATGACCACATTTGATGCTGCAGGGCAATCGGTAATGAAAAGTCCCCAGACTATCTTAATACAAAATATACAGCTTTAATAAACAGAAGTAAGACTTACAACAGCTTACACCAGAATCCAAATGATCCGTCCGGACGCAGGAGCCAGGCAAGAGAGCTAGCGAAGTGCACTCACCAGGTTTATAGGTAAACTTTAGCCTAAGGGCGACACGCCCCACAAACAGAATATGATTGGCTGAACTCCCCTATCATCTCCCCCTTTTTTCTAAAATAAGACAGAACCAAACCAAATACAACTATATATAATAGAAGCAAATAATAAATATAAAGTTACAAACAATAAACAATATTAAGCAAGAAACATATAACAAAAGTTTTACTAAACATTCTATTTCAGGAAGTCTAAATAATGTAGATGGTAACTACAACTATCTAATCTTCAACTCCATCAAAGATCTGAGAAGGGAAATAATTTTACTCAAGCAGCCCGGAAGTACAAGCGGGAAACTTCTGAAATGTGCAACAAATGGAAGAGACAACTGAATACCTGGGCAATCACCCAAAGTCTCGTATGCAATGTTGAGTCAACCAACTTTGGCTAAGGCCTGATGTAACTGACATGCCATTTTTCAATGGCAAGAAACCTTTTAGGACTCTCTCACCCTGTCTTGGCAAGATAAGACAATCCTGCTTTTATCCATTTACGGATATTTTGTAATTCTGTCAGTGGTCGAGGTATGGGCTTTTTCTTTGCCCAAAGGCCAGTTCTGCCAGGAAGAAGACAAGCTCCAGGTGGAGTGTCTTTGGTGCTCAACGTTCTCTCGGGAGTAGAGCGGTGATGCCAGGAGCGATTGTGTCTCACTACTATAGAACTATGAGTTAGATTAAAGGCCATTTTCCACAGCTCTTCGAAGAGGTTGAAGATTATACTATCTATACTAAGTATGCACCAAAATAACCTGATTAGCTTAAATATAAATATAATAAACATATATGACTATTGATTTCTATCTATCTAACTTGAAGACTAAGAGAATGAACAACTGTGTAAGCTTCCGCACTTTTCTGTGGACACCCGAACCTCGAAACAGGCACGTGCTTTCCTAACCCGAGCCCACGAGAACGGACAATTGTCCTAGGGGTTTGAACAGAGACGACACACACACAAAGAGACCTGGCTCATCTGCCAAAGAGCAAGTGGCAAATGGCAGCTTTATTAAGCATAAGTCGGGTATATATACTGTGGGGCAAAAAGACACCAGCCCCCCATCAGG